TGTTTAGTCTGCAAAATGAGGATGATCATCACCTGCTTCCCATGAGTCAATTCTCATTCCCTCACCAGCAGAAGTGTCCCAGGTGAGAAGAAGCACACTCAGTTTCTTTTTATCCTTTAATCTTCCAAGGATGGAATTTTTCTAATCAATAAGTTTTAAAAGCCTCACATATTTTCCCAACAAAGAAAAATTGACTCACTCCATGAAAACATACTTAAGCAGCCTATTGGCCACTACAGATTTTACATTATTTTGGATATGGAATACATAGACACACAACACATTTTTTAAAAAAATTTTTGTTATTGTTTTGAGTCAGGGTCTCACTCTGTCACTCAGATTGGAGTACAGTGGCACAATCATGGCTCACTGCAGCCTCGACCTCCTGGATTCAGGCGATCCTCCTGCCTCAGCCTCCTGAGTATCTAGGACTACAAGCATGCACCACCACAACCAACTTATTATTTTTATTTTATTTTTTGGTAGAGATGAGGTCTCACTGTATTGCTCAGGCTGGTCTTGAACTCCTGAGCTAAAGCTATCTTCCTGCCTCAACCTCCCAAAGCGCTAGGATTACAGGCGTGAACAGCTGTGCCTGGCCAGTAGTCTATATTTTAAGAATTTCATCTATGTTTATTGTATTATTTGGGGTAGGCAAATTACTATAAGAAACAGACAAAAATAAAGCGTGTAACAGCCCTGAGTGAGGTCTATTTCTTGCTCATGGAACGGTCCTGGGTGGATGAGCAGGTGGGCGGAGTGGCCCTCCTTCAGGCGGTCGCTCAGAGACCCAGGTTCTCTTCCCAACTCACTGTAGATACAGTATGACTCTCTTCCCACATGCTTTGCCAAGTTACATACAGCTTTTCTTTCTCGCAGGATCCCCAGCTTTCCGGCAGCATAGCTAGCCTCTTGTACACTTAGGCCATAATTGCTTACCTCAAAATTGTGTGATTCAAATTCACTCTCCCAGGCATATTTGGAATGCACTGAAATTTGGAAACCTCTTCCACCCTCCTCTAGGTAGAGGTTTTTTGGTAGTGATCCTTACCTCTCCTTTCTTCCTGTCTTTGGAAAGACTGTACCAGCTGCATTTGCTTCTTATATTCTCTCTCTCCACATAGCTAAACTACTGCCTGTCTAGGACCCTTCCACCCTTCATTGCTTCCAATGAGATTTTTCAAAAATCTCCACACTTGTGAGCAAGTGTGGAACTGTTTTCTTACCCCAGAAAATGGCTTCGTTTCCTGCTTCTTGTCGTGTCTCTTGTTCATCTTTCTCTTTTTTTCCTCTTGCATCCCCCCCTCCCAGAAATCCATCTCCTCTTTTGTGTTTCCCCTTCCTGCAGGCTCTTTTATCTCTTTCTTCTCTTCCAACCTCCATGTAAGTTGCCAACCTCATTTAATCAGCTGTTACTAGCAGCCATGTTTCATTTTCCTTTCATTCTCTACCTTGTAAGTGGACCCAGGTGGGCTGCATCTCCTTTCATTGTAACATTCTCTTGGGCCACTCACTCAGGACTACTCGTTCAACAATTGTCTCTATGGAGCAATTTTCCAGACTGCAAACCACACTCAATTTCCCAACTCTCCCAACTACATTTACGTTTGTTTGTCTCTAATAAAAGCTCAAACCCTCCTCCCTAAATGGAAAGCTCTAGCAAAGAGTATATGACTCACCTTGAACAGAAAGAACCACCTGAGCAGAGACTGGTAGTTTCTGGAGGGGAAAGGTGGATAGTTGTGAGATTTTGGAGTAGAGTAGTCAACTGTCCCAGTGTTCCCAGGACAAAGGGCATTCCAGGATACAAGTTTTAAAACCAGGACAAATATTTATTTATTTATTTATCTTTATTTATATATAAATATATATACACATATATATACAAATATATGTGTATATGTATGTATATATATAGTTTTTTTTTTAGTTGGGGGTCTCTGTCACCAAGGCAGTGGCATAATCACGTCTCACTGAACTCTTGACCTCTTGGGTTCAGGTGATCATCCCACCTCAGCCTCCTGAGTAGATGAGAATACAGGCATGAGCCACCACACACAGCCCAGAACAAAATTTAAAGACTGGTTTAAAGAAGGGTCTTTGTTGGATAAAAATCATGATGAAATAGTTTAGGAATAGCAAGGTGAAGTTTTCAAAATGGGGGGTTCGAAGAATCCTGGGATATAAACTGTTGGTGATTTCTGTTGAAGCATTAATGGGTCTTTCAAAAAGTTTCTACAATGGACAATAAATTTATTTGCCTGGACAAGTGTCTCCTGGAATAGTAAAGATATGTTAGTGAAGACAATGGACCAGTCTAGATATATTACTACAGACAGTAATCTATGTATGTAGGGAAGATGGTGGAATAGATGGTTTCTGTTCTCATAATTTCATTCCCTTTTCCAAGTTCTGTTTCACATTCAATATCCACAGTGAAAATACTAACCCAGCAGATTTTTTTTTTTTTTTGAGTTGGAGTCTCACTCTGTCGCCCAGACTGGAGTGCAGTGGCCGCTCCCGGCCACCACAGCCTCAACCTGCTGGGCTCCGGTGATCCTTCTGCCTCAGCCTTCCGAGAAGCC